ATATATTAAAAAGAAGAGAGGTACCGCAAACGTTTTTGGTTGTAATGTGGATTTTTTAAAAAAAATATGCTTTATTTTCCACAATTTTACTACACGTGTTTCTGGTCTCGCAACCGTCTTCAGGTAAAAGGCGGAGATTTCCACATATTATTAAAACAATTAAATTCTTCCTTATGTTTTTCAATGTTAAATATTCTCGATATGAGAGATTCTCTGTTTTTGTGTTAGTAATCCGAATGTCTTTCTTGAATTGTCAGTGAATAGTTCTGCTCGAAGGGTCATAAAACAACTAAGGTTGGTCCGAGAGAAATGATGAATTAGTTATCGGTATTTTATCTTTCAATGTTTTAATGACCCCTGTGTGTTCTTAGATCTGTTTCCATTTTCGTGTGTTTCTGTCAGCATGCGTGGATATATGCGTGTGTATATTCCCCCTCCATACATACACTGTCTCACTACGAGGAATTAGTAAACACATTTATACACATACATACATACATAAACACACGCACACACACACCGTCCCACCACAAGGAATCAGTACATACACACACATACATACATAAACATACACACACACATACTTTCCAAGTTACATAGAACAAGTATACACATACACACACACACATATATACGTACATACATACAAACTTACTTCCTAAGTTGTGTGGGGTTTGTGTATGTGCCCGTGAGTAGTTCCCCCGCTTTTGTCAGTATGCATATATATATATATATATATATATATATATATATATATATATATATATAGATAGATAGTTAAATAGATAGATAGATAGATAATATTAGTGGTAAATATACATACATATGCAAAATATATAAATACCCATACATGTATATTTTTAGAATAAAAATTCCAAGAGGAAGAATCCAGGTAGAACTCAATGTCCAGGACAGAGTAAGGATATAATAAAAAGGCTTAATATTAGTGTTTAAGTTTTTTTTATATATATATATATATATATATATATATATATATATATATATATATATGTGTGTGTGTGTGTGTGTGTGTGTGTGTGTTTTCGTGCCCCACAGATACCTGCATGTGAGCGTGCGTGCATGTATGTGAGTGATTTGATCACTGTATTTGGTCACCTTGTGTGCATGTTGTGTACTTTTGCGTGTGGGGTTATGATCTATTCAGTTCGGGTTTAAATTTGTTTATGAAGTTTTTTTCTTGTGTTTGTAGGTAAGAATAATTATCTGTTTGATATATTGACATGATATTAAATTTACCCTGCTTACATTTGAAGATGTAACCAGGGTAAATGTAATATCAATGCCAAATGTAACTAGGGTAAATTTAATATGCCAATATATCAAACAGACACTTATTAAAATACTGATAAGTAATTCATCATTTCTCTTGGACCAACCTTAATTGTTTTATGACACTTCGCGCAGAACTCTTCATTGCCAATTCAAGAAAGAAATTCGGATTGCTAACACAAAAACAGAGAATGTCTCATATCGAGAATATTTGACATCGAAAAACATAAAGGAAAAAAGAAATTATTTTTAATAACATGTGGAAATCTCCGCCTTTTACCCGAAGACGGTCGCGAGACCAGAAACGTGTGTAGTAAAATTATGGAAAATAAAGCATATTTTTTTTTTTAAATTCCACATTACAACCAAAAACGTTTGCGGTACCTCTCTCGTTGGAATCAATATAACCTCTTTCTTTACACACACACACACACACACACACACACACACACACACACACACACACACACACACACACACACACACACACACACACATATATATATATATATATTTATATATATATGTGTGAGTACATGCCTAAGTGTATGTACCTACTTGTATATGTTTTTGTGTGTATTAGTATGTGTTTTTGAACATAGAAATATTTGGTCCTTGCTAAATTAGACAATCGTTATATTCATCTTCATATATTTATATTTGATTCCTAACCTGTAGTCGATATTAATTTGTCACATTTTCTCAATTACAAAGCGGCCCTTTAAGTAAACACAATTTTATTTTCCTTCGTCCCATCTCTCTCCCCAACCTCTTCTCTTTTTTTTTTTTTTTTTCCCTACCTCCTATCTTAACTTCTATTTGTTTATGGTGTGTATATGTCACCACGAAATGTATCTTTATGCATTAGACATCCGTCGACTTTCTTTCTCTCCTCTTTTTAAATCCCCCCCCACATATCCTAAAATTCTCTCTGTTAAGGTTTCATCTCCCTCCTCCTCATACTTACACTTTCTCTAAATTCTGTTTTGATTTCCGGAGTTGTTTTTTCTGTTTTCATTTTGAATTTGTAGGTCTGATGATTTGGATCGTATTTACGATTCCAATGGAATAAATTATGACCATGGAATATTAGTGTTTAAGCCTTTTTATTATATATATATATATAGATACACCTAGTGAGCCAGACAAACCTACCTAGGTTTCCCCTAAACGGATCATCAGGGAAATTAAGGCTTACTAGGTAGGTTTATCTGGCTCACTAGGTGTATCTAGGTCTGCTCTACGGTTGTATTGAGCTCTTTTGTTAGTTAGTTGTTTACTCGTATCGGGGTTTTTTCTTTGGGCTTCAGATTTGCATCTGTGCGATTTTTTGTCGGCAAAAGTTCATGTTTGTAGCTCTTTCTTTTTTTAACACCTTTTTTTCCCTCGAGATTGATTTGACTATTAGCAAATCAAAAATTCGAGGGTTTTTCGAGGGTCTTTTCGAAATCTATCTATCTATCTATCTATATATATATCTATATATATATATGTAAAAGAACGAAGAGTAAAATTTCAACGTTCGTAACATTCATTTAAAACAGGGCTCAATACAAAAGTAGAGCAATAAATATTTATTTATTATGCACTGATATATTACATCCTGTACATACCCAAATTGAATCTTCTTTAGGTGGGAAGCTATGATGGTACTAAAATACTTTTTGTTCCGAAATCCAGTTAATGAAGCACAACTCCAAATCCCGTCTTTGGAACAAACAAAAATTCATAAAAAACGTAAAAAGGATTTCTATAGGGAGAAAGAAAGAAAGCTAAGTGATTAATAAAAGTGAAAGAGGGAAGGAGAAGAAGAAGAAAAAGAAAAAGACCAAAAAAAAATGGAGAAAAAGGTTAAGCCGAGTTTAAATTTGAATTCTCTGATTTGACGGAATTTCATTGGTTGGATTTGTTGCTTCTTTGTTTTTCTAATCTTCCTCCTTTTTTTGTCTTAAACAATGCATTGATCTTTATCCTGTAAACATCTTATCTCTTATATCCTTCTCCCTACGAATAAATGAATGTTGAATACTCGTTTCAACCTTTATTTCCCTTTCTTGGTCTTTTTTTCTTTATCTTTGTCTTAAATGTTAAAATTTTGTTTTAACGTTTCATCAGGTAGGAAATCACCGAAATGAATTTCAGAATAAAATATTTTAGTAGCATCGTGATTTCCCACCTGATGAAACGTTAAAAATAAATAAATAAATAAATAATTTTTAATGTTGAAACAAGATGCACAGCTTTGTAGTGGGTATGTGCATGTTCTAATGTAATAATGCATAATAAATAAATATTTGTTGCACTACTTTTGTATTGAGCTCTCTTTTAAATTAATGTTTTGAACACTGAAATATTACTCTTCGTTCTGTTAGATTTGGATATCTATCTATCTATCTATCTATCTATCTATCTATCTGTCTGTCTACAATCTATCTATCTATCTATCTATCTATCTATCTATATATATATATATATATATATATATAAAACACTAATCTTCTAAGTACTTCCGATCTATCTATCTATCTATCTATCTATCTATTTATATATATATATATATATATATATAAAACACTAATCTTCTAAGTGACGAAGTACTTCCGCTGGAGGATCAGAATCATCGAGCGATAGGTTTCCTCGTTGCATTAAGTGAAACCAGAAGAGACTCCCCACTTCTTTTCATCCCAGAAGACGAGGTAAAGGGCCGTTGTTGAGTGTTTATGATCAATCTCGATGTCTTTCAATTCATAATATTTAATCTAACGTGCTGCGATGAATTTAGATTTAAGTTGCATAAATGTTATCACCACTAGAATTTTAACGCCACCCGGAAACGGACCGGATTTTATTTATTGTAAGCAATAGAAATATTTAAGCAATTACTCTTCGTCACTTCCATTCTTCCATTCTCATGTTTTCTTTCATTTTTGTTTTTTATTCACTTTCATTTTCTTACTTAAATCCTTATGGCTCCAGCTGGTGAAAATGACACTTTTTGTTTTATAGTCAAAGCATACAATGTTCAGTTCCACATAACATGCGTCAATTGCAAAGGTTCGATAACGTAATGGACATGATTTTTGGAGTGAAGATGGGGAATGGACTGACCATTCCTGCAGTCTCACTCTTTGAAGGGAGAAGATTGCTTCCTACTTCTTACTTTTACGTGATTGAGAAGAACTGAAGACAGACTGATGCCTCAGTGAATTTTGATTAGTCGGACATTTTTTCTAACCACCATTGTTGAATGTCAGTTTGATTTGCATCTGGTTTGGTCACGTAAAAGACAGGATTTGATTTTTAGAGCCTTCTACATTTCTACTTTTTACCTTTTTCGTTCTATCTTTTTTTCGTTTAAGCTTCATTGTTTATTTTCTTTTTCTTCCTTTGCAATCGTTTTTATATTTGCTATTTATTCTGTTCTTAACTTACATTTCTGCTTACATTCTACCACTTGTTCAACCTCGTAGTTTGCTGCTACACGCTCTTTCTTTCTTTCTTTCTTTCTTTCTTTCTTCACTACCATATCATGTTTTATTCGATTTTTCCTTCTTTTTTTCACCATCTGAAAGAACATAATAAAGAAAGAAAAAGTTCTAAAAATGAAATGACAGTAAAGAAAAAAAATTATTTCTTTCCATCTTTCATTCTTTCACTGTCGTATCATTCTTCATTCCGTTTTCTTTTATTTCACTGCCATTTTATTCTTTAATGTCGTTTTATCCTTCAGACTCTTTATTTATTTATTTGTTTGTTTCTTTGTCATTCTACATACCGATTCTTTCTTCCTTCTTTTCTTTCTTTATTTCTTTCTTTGTCTTTCTATATACCGATTCTTTCTTTCTTTCTTTATTTCTTTCATTGTCGTTCTCCAACCGATTCTTTCTTTCTTTCTTTCTTTATTTCTTTCTTTCTTTCTTTGTCGTTCTCCAACCGATTCTTTCTTTCTTTCTTTCTTTCTTTCTTTCTTTCTTTGACATTCTACATACCGATTTTTCCTTTCTTTTCTTTGTTTATTTAATTGTTTCTTTCTTTGTCATTTTGCATTCCGATTTTTTAATTTCTTTCTTATTTTTACGTCTTTTTCTTTTTTCTTTGTCATTTTACATACCGATTCTTTCTTCCTTCTTTCCTTCCTTCTTTTCTTTTTTCTTTCTTTCTTTCTCTGTCTTTCTATATACCGATTCTTTCTGCCTTACTTTATTTCTTTCATTGTCATTCTCCTACCGATTCTTTCTTTCTTTCTTTCTCATTCTATATACCAATTCTTTCTTCTTTTCCTTCCTTCCTTTCTTTCTTTCTTATTCTACATTTCCGATTCTTTCTTTACCTTTTATTTAACTGTCAAATCTTTTCTTTAATTTCCTTTTATTATTCAAACATATCTTTCTTTCATTCTGCCATTTTGTTCATTGCTCATTCTCCTTTTCATTTCCTTCTTTCTTTCTTTCATTTTTAAAATTCTTTTCCTTACTATAGTTGTCTACCCTTTTATAAGTAACCGTTTTCCTAAGCAGCAATTAAATCATTTTCCCCTCACCCCACCGCCATTTTATTTTTCATCCCGTTTAATTTATTTATTCAGTTGACTCATTCAAATTTTATTTGTTTGCATGGAATCTCTTATTCTATTTTCCAATTATTATCTTTCTTTTTTTTCTAAAGAAATATTCCTTTCTTTATTAGTTTCCGTCGTATGTATATGTTGTGGATTCCGAGATGAAATTCCGTCTCCAATGAATAACAAACGCACAATAATACAATGGGTAATACTGTTAGTAAATCCAGAAACGCAGTTAGTAGCAATATATATATATATATATATATATATATATATATATATATATATATATATATATATATACAGTCTCGAAGTAGGACTTCCTTAGAGTCTACGTGCTTGTAACTGAGACTTCTACAAGCGGTTACCTCACACTATTACTCAACCTCCAACTCAATCACAATCTCTGCTCACTCTCAATCTCTCTATATTCTGACTGACTCTGTATTTAACGGCAGCAGTCCAAATAACACTCTGGTCGAGTCCACGTATATGAAAAAGAGGAGGACCCCATACACCCCCCTCCTTAGATCCCTTTTTGGGGGGAGTTATTATTTTTGTCTCTTATGGTTGATAATCAGGGGTTCGACAAATTTTCTCTTCCTGTTTGACCTTCTCATTTCTGTGACTTCCTGCAGTCTTTGAATCTCAAACGCTTCGAATATTGCATCCATGGAATTGTCATTTTCTGCGATTGACGAGCTTGGCTCCTCAATCCGTCTTTTTTGTAATTGATCGATATGTCTTCTATGTGAAAACTTCTCTCCTTGTACTGTGTACATTAGATTTCCTAATCTGTTGATTGTTGTGCCCGGCTCCCAGTAAGCCATATTGTTTCTAAACATCCTAAAATAAACCCGTTCTCCAAGTTTAAATGATCTCTTTGGTACAATCGGTGTATATTTGTTTTTGTTCTTGTTTGGCAATAATTTGTCAAACACAGACCTTATTCTCCGAGCAAACATCAATTCCGCTGGTGAAAGACCCGATGGTGTGTTCACGTTAGGTGTTATTCTGTACACTTGCAGGAATTGTTGTATCGCTTTTATCGTCGGTACATCCTCGGCTTTTTTAACGCTCTTTTTAGTGTGTCAATGAATCTTTCAGTTTGTCCGTTCGACCTCGGGTGGTACGGAGCTATCTTGATATGTTTTACTTGATATGTCTCACAAAATTCTTTGAAGTCACTGGAGGTAAACTGTGTGCCGTTATCGCTTACCAAACCATCCGCAACGCCAAATCTCGCGAATAGGTCGTGTAAGCAGTTTATAGTGTTTTCTGTCGTCGGGTGTTTAAACATGCCAACCTCTGGCCATTTACTGAAACTATTTACTGTTATTAAATAATATTAACCTTCAATGGGTCCTGCGTAATCCACGTGTATTCTGGAACACGGTGTGTCGACTTTAGACCATGGCCTTTGTATAGAGGGTGGTGCTTTCGCCGCAGCAGCACAACCTTTGCAACTTTCCACCATTTGCGTAATATCATCGTCCATGTTCGGCCAGTAGACAAAACTTCTCATAAGTGATTTCATCCGGTTTTTTCCGGGATGTCCTAAGTGAAAATCTTTTAAGATCCTTCTTCGTAGTGACTTTGGTATTACTACTCTCTCGTTATACAATAATATGTTGTCACAGATTGAGAAACTGTCTGCTAAATTCCTCACTTTCTTTTCTATTTTTTCTTGGTATCCTGAATAAACTCGTCTTTTTCTGCTTCTCGTCTTATCTCTAGCAGCGTTACAGATAGTTCCTTTATTGTATATAGTACCTTACTGATTTCATCTTCAGCTTGTAATGCTGCAATTACCGAATCTTCTAACGGTTCGCTTTTCGCAGGTATTAATCGCGATAGTCCGTCAACGTGTCCAATTTTCTTTGATGGCAAGAATTTCAGTTTTAAATTGTAGTTTAGTAACACAGTTCCCCATCTTAAAAGTCTGTTCGCTGTATAGACTGGTAGACCTTTTTTTGAACCGAAAATCGTAAGAAGTGGTTTGTGATCCGTTTGGAGTGTGAACTCTCTCTCCCATAAATATACCTGTGAAAACGAAAGACTGCAAAAATTATGCTCAATGCCTCCTTTTCGATCTGTGAATAGATTCTCTCCGCCGGTAATAATGATCTAGATGCGTGTGCAGCAGGTTTGTTTGTACCATTCCGCATCTTGTGTAAAATACACGCACCTACCCTATGCAATAGTGATTTTGAGTTCGGGATCGAAATGTGTCAATGTCAACACTGATGTTAATTTTTGTATTATTTCCTAAAATGCTTTTTTACAGTCCTCTGTCCAATTCCAACTATGCTCCTTTTTTAGTAACTCATTTAGTGGAGCCCTCAATTTATGTATATTATCAATAAATTCGCCATAGTAGTTAGCTAGGCCCAGGAAACTTTGTAGTTCTGCAATATTTTTTAGTTCAGGCATATTTTTAATTATCGATGCCCTCTCTGGGTCTAGTTTCCTGCCATTTTCATTTATTATCTGTCCTAAATATTTAATTTCGTTTAGGAAAAATCACACTTTTCTCCTTTTACTTTGAACCCAAAGTCCTGAAGTCTTCTGAAAACTTCCTTTATGTGTGATATGTGCTCTTCAACATTGTCGCTCTTAATTAGAATATCATCCAGATAAGCGGTCGCGAAATTCTGTCCCGTTAGCATTGTGTCCATTGTTTGCTGAAAAATTGCTGGTGCAACTTTTACTTTGAATGGTAGTCTGTTGAATTTGTACAACCCTTTGTGCGTATTAATGCAAAGGATTTTCGTACTCTTTCTTGTACTGGAATTTGTAGATAAGCCTCACTTAGATCTATTTTTGAAAATATCTTACCCCCGTTGAGCTTTGTAAATATTTCTTCTGGGCTCGGTAGTGGGTAATGGTGGTCTTTTATCACCTTGTTGAGTCCCGTCGAAAAATCTGCGCACACGCGGATTTCTCCTGACTTTTTAGATAAACCACCGGCGCTGCCCACTCACTAAACTCTGTTTTTGATAGAATCCCATTTTGTTCAAGTCTCTCCAATTCTTTGTCTATTTTTTCTATAGTAGCGAACGGTACATTTCACTTCTTTTTAAAAATTGGTTGGACGTTTTCTTTTAATTCTATTTTGGCCTTAATTTTGTTGCATCGTCCCAACCCGCTTGAAAATACCCCAGGAAATTGATTATATAATTCCTCTTTCAATTTTATAGTATCTGATGGTTCCACCTCTAACTTTTTGCAAAAAGAGTTGATAGGTAGGTTCCAAACGTTGAACTTCTGCATCCAGTCGATACCTACTAAATTTTCAGTATCTTTCATGGCATATATCTTAAGTTTTTTTGTTTTGCCGTGAAATTTAACATTCACGATTATTTCTCCCTCAAATTTTATTCGTTTGCCTGTAACCGACTTGGCAATTTTGGGTGTGTGTAACATGGTAGGTCTGTTGAATTTTCTCCATGTCTGTAAGTTGATTATCTTGAGCTCGGAACCCGAATCCAGTTGTAATTTAACCTTTTTATTTAAAATTTCCACATATTTCCTTCCGTTGGTGTTGTCATCGTTATTCATCCTTGTAGCTCTTATTCTATTAGTATCTTTTCTATTTCTACATTGGGATGCCTTGTGGCCCTTTTTTCCACATTCAAGACAGTTTTTATATCTAAAGCGGCAATCTGTGGCACCATTTACGAGGCAGAGAAAGGAAGAGAAAGAAAGGAAGGCAGAAAGAAAGGCGAGACGAATCGTAGGTGATAAACAGCCACACACATGGCTAAGAGACAATGAAAATATTGATAAGTAACAAGTGAAAGAGGGTGTCATTACAATGACAGGGAGTTTCTGAGTAAAAAAGAAAGAACGAATCAGATGTGTTTTGATAACGGCTGTGTTATCTAGACCACTGGCCAGGGAAAAAATTCAAGTGAAAATGCTATTTCGATAAGTGACGAGAAACAGGCCACTAAAAAGGACTTTGGACAGATATGAAACATTAAATCCCACACAAGCAGTGCGCTGACCGAATTCTTTTCGACGAAACAACTTTGGCCTGCGATAATAAAATTATGTTATCGGGAATATGTACCGAGGGAAAATGAATGGGGAACCAGAAGTGTTTTTCTTTCTTCCTTGGAGGCGACAGACTGACTGAAAACTTTGGGGATATTTCTTTTTTGAAGCCATGTTAAGAATACCAACTATCTTGATAAATTAGCGATAAAATACCTGACAAACACCACGTGTAAAACAAGAGTTGCCATATTCTCTAGCCACTAGAGAAATGATAACGACGATTTAAGCGAAAGAGAAGTGATAATTTTTTTTTTAATTAAGCAAGATTTTTTTTTCCGAAACAAAGCCACGGATTGTTCACGCCCGACTAAGACATCATTGGTCAAGTGGTGATCACGTGACGCACGAAGGAGG